TAGGAGGTGATAACGCAAATGTTGGGATCTAAGATGTTGATAAACGGAGACAAACTGAGATCGCCATGCTTTGTTGATTCACCTTGACCTTCTGATATTTGACCGCTAGAATGCACTAGGCTTGGGCGTTAGTAGTTGGGTCATGTTGTGGAAACTTCGTTGGATAGTTGGATTTGAGGGATAATGAAAAGAGAGAGAATGAGTGAGCTCCTCCTCCTCCCCTGTATGTATAGGCGGATCAGGAGCCTCCACAATCGCCCTGGGTGGATCTTCAGACTGCTGATATGGCGTACGAAGACTCGAGATACTTGGAGTTCAAATTATCGCGTCTTGTTGCGCCCATTGCATTGGCACCTGCAGCTCGAATTCGTCGTGACATTGGAGAATTCGGTCGAGGGGGTGGTAAACTCACTTCACTGGTGGACAAACGAGTTATGCTGACCCTTCCCTCGGGAGCGTTGAAAATCGCCTGCACGTACTCCATTCAGGTGAGGTGGGTCGACTAGAATGCAACATCCTCCTACCTTCATCATTAAATATTATTACTATCCTTTTTTTTTCTTTCATATAAAGGTTCAACCCATCAGCCAGCATCATGCTCATCTCCTTCGAGACCAAAACTTGACTTTCATGTCTCAGTTCACGGCTTGCAGTCCACTCGTTATTCTTAGTGAGTTTACAAATTATTTCTACCTTAAAAGTTCTAATTATGCTTCCATCAACAATAAAATGAAAGGCTTTGGTGTCTCCTTTAAGCCGGACCGAAGAAGATTCTCTTCAAACCGGCGCTCTTCGCTTTGCCCCTGACAGATACCAATCCATCCAATCAAGTGATCATCATGTCAAACGCCTCCACACCTGAAGCCTTTTTGGGTCACAAAAAACCTAAGACTCATCGAGACGGCAATTCGGAGAGTGAAGGTAAATCCTACAGACAACTCATCAAAGATGGAGATTTTTGTTTCTTCACTCCTCCATCATAGAGGATGCAAAGGTGTGTCAATCACTTCCCACTACCACCACCACCACCACCACCACCACCACCTTCATAATCATAGTCGTCGTTATCGTCGCCGTGATCTAAGGAGGTAAAGTCGTGGAAGCCGACAATTAACTTCAAGTACTACTACTTTATTGGCTCCTTTCATCTGCCGATGGGTTCATTTAAGATCGGTTGGCTGACCCTGTGGCATGAGATGGGGACTGGATTTTGCAAGCTGTTTGCAGGCTTTAAATTC